TATATATATATATATATATATATATATATATATATATATATTGTAAGAAAAATAAAATTAGTATTTACTTTGTTAGATGTTGGTGGGGATAACGTGGCTTGACCTGAGGAGTCAAGGTGGAGGTGAACCGTCGATTGGAAGTAGAATGATTCAAAGATTAAAAGAGTAAGGATATTATTATTTATAGTCACGGCTTCTTGTGATTAGAAACGATCTTACAGTTATCACTTTGTAAATATATTCCCTTGTATAAAAAAATATCATAAATGGTATACTCATGAACAATGAGACACACAACAATTCTAATTATATTCTTAACCCTCCAAGGAGAATGTTTCTCCTATTTAGCAGCTCCACCAGATTCTCTAATTGGATTCTACTCTGAATTCTCTACACTGCATAGTCCATCTTTAGACCATATGCCTCATGTACAGGGAACAAAGGGGCCAATTGGTAGGCCAATTTTGACTGTATGGAAAGAGATACACTTTTGTGGGTTGGCCAGATGAGTTCTTTGCTATTTTGTGTTCTGGATGAGGCCTGTGTGAGACTGACTAATTAAGCAATTCATATTTCTTTCAGAAAGAAAGGAAAAATAAAAGACAGATCATGGATGAGATCCATCAAAGTTGAATTTGACCTAATCAGTTGACATATCTCATAAGATCTCTGGATAAAGCTAATCCAGGTTCATCATCATGAGCTGTAGAAGAGCTACAGCCTTGCAACTCACAGAGAACCAAGTGCAGGACAACTTGTAACACACACCTTTAAGAGATCACTAGTGACAATCTTTAAAGTGTTTTTTTATCAATATCATTCCATCTAAAGGTTCAAGATGTGATTATATATTCTTATGTTTCTATGCATTTTAGGTGAAAATATGTTGTCATGACTCCCTATTAGTGAAAAGACCCCCTGTGCTGAACAAGTATAGTAGTAATGTGGAGTTAGTGAACCGAGGGAGGGCTTAGAAGGCCAGGAGATAGCTTAATCTCTATAATTACCAAATAAGTAGGTGTCTATCTATCCTTGTGCCAATCATGTACAACCCTTCCCTTCCTTGTTTCTTCTTTTGCCTGACGACTATGGCAGCTTTCTAAACTGCGACACCAGCAAAAAGCCAGCATCGGTAGGGTGCTACTCCCTCTCTGGAAGAGACACTGGACTCCCACAGGTTCCACGGGATTTGATATGTTAATGCGGGAGACCATACTGCTTGTAGAATTGAAATGGGAAATGTTGTTGCTATCGTGTAATAAAGACGCATATGATATTGCTTGTAGAATTTGTGGCGTATTGGTTGACAGCTCTTTTTGGTCCTTGGATTATTAGTATTTCATGCTAACTCGGGTGATGGGTCTGCGTGTTAAATTATGTAGTACATTTTGGATGGCTTCCAGCTAAAAGGCTGCCGTTTAAACAATGGAATAAGCTGCCGTAGTGTGTCAGTTCATGATTGAATGATTGTCCCAAAGTTGCCTTTATGCTTGTCGAACAAAGCTGCAGCCACAGAAAAAACAAATGATTGATTAATGACCATCATACTTCCTTCATACTATTTCATGAGATTCATGCGAATAATTGACTAATGACCATCACATTCCCTTCTACTATCTCATGAGATTCATGCTAAATCACATAGGCATCTCATGTGTAACATGATTCATTTCTTCGCAACATCCGGACTAGAAAACGACAGTGTTTTAGCCTTCAACTCTGACAAGGAGATGTAACCTCGAGAGAAGCCACTTGATTAAAAGAAAGAAAGAGAAACCAAATAAAGACTTTTTGGTGATGAGCACTGAAGCTTGGAGAACATTAAGGTTACAAAATCCATCAAGAATTTTCAAGCATTTAACAAGAGAAAATAGCTGTTTTAGCTGGAAGGATGATGAGCGGTTGAGGAAACCAGCAAGCCTCTCACATCACTCACCTGCATACAGCTGACAGAAATCAAAGCCATCATGAAGGGAAAACCCAAAAATGAAGGTACAAAAAGAACAAAACAAAGTAAGATTGCAACCATCATTTCATAAGTGAACCATCTAATTATATCCAGATGCATGTCCAACATAAGGGGATCAATATGCTCGATCAACTTGGCACATTCTCATGCATGTCCAACCGAACAGGCCTCGCCCAGCTGATGAAAGTTTGGACTCTGAAATTAAGCCAGCAAACATTCTGGGGTGTCTTCGCTTTTCCCAGCAGTAGATCACCAACATTTTAGCATGTACAGTAAGAATATAAAAAAAAATTGAAGGCGTTAAGCAGAGTTAAATGCAGCAGAGAATATTGTAAAGCATAATAAGCCGAATACATGAACTCGTTGAGCAGAGTAAAATGCAGCAGAGATTTGTGCAAGCATAATAGGGCCCAATAGGACACAAAACTAGCAGAAATTCCCATCTTATGGATGCAAACATACTCCATACTTTTGTGCTACAAAATGAAACAGATGGCCAAAATATGAAGTTTCACCTGAGCTACACTTCACACTATCTAATGACTTGGTAGATGTACCACGTAAAGCGCGAGAGACTCCACAAATTGGCCGTAATGAAGAACTTCCGAACTGGTTTTACAGTGGCCTGGTCAGAATTTTCAGAAGGTAATTTTGCCAAGAGAACTATATAAATAGACCAACTGTAAGCTACCTTACAATCTGTTGAAGCTTCCAAAAGCTTGCACTTTTCACCCTTACCATGGGAATTGGAGTATGGCCAAAAGACAAGATCTACATATACGAGTTCCTACACCCACTTTGCAACTTCTCATCAACAGCCACGTGGGTTCTTGGCAAGCAATTGGTAAAATACAATGAACCTGTGACAGATCCACCGGCATGACAGTGGCAACCAAATGATGACTATGCATATAAACTATTAAATATTTGCAAACTCAAGTTTGGCCCCTTCTCTTGCGCTTCTTCCCAGCCGAAGCTTCACTCTCTGGTGCCTTGGGTGTTGCACATGACGGCAACTCTGCCAGTGTCTCAGACTCTCGAACCTTAGCTTTCCCCTTCTCAAAATCAATATTCGCTTCTGATTCACTACCAGTTGTTGGAGAGGTGGTGCCCCTCAATTTCTGGCCTGTCTTTGGGCTGTCTTCACTAGATTTACTTTTTGAAGTATCCTTTCTTACCTTGCTGACAGCACTAACAGTATCATCCATTAACTTGCTGGCTGATTTAGGAGTGCCACCAATGGAATTTCTGATGAACTTGTGAACATTATCCTTTTTCTGACTTCCAGTTTTAGAGGTAGACTTATCAGCCTTATCAACTGTGGACTTGGAGTCATCCTTAAGCTTTACATCAGATTTAGAACCCTCATCTTTGGATCTGCTTGTTGCCTTCTCGTTTGCCTTACTTGATGAGCTGGGACCATCATCAAGGTTCAAAACACCAGCTTTCCGTGGTCTACCTTTACGGCGACTGCCGGATGGTTTGCCACTGACCAACAAAAGACAATATGGTCTTAGAATATACATGAAAAAGATTGGATAAGTACTAGTACTGTAATTGACCTTTTTGTAGGTGTCTCTGTATTTGTTTCCTTGGGGTTGGAACTTGAACTTGTTTTCATTCTTTTGCTTTTTGACCTGATTCACATGGCAATATGTAGAATCAAACACCAAAAACATTTGGCATAGAGCACTATGTCGTCAATATTCACAAAACTACATTCTATTTCATCATTTGAAATGTTAAAATTCCTTCAAGATTAGTAAAATAATCTTCTGTTTCTAAACAGCTTCTCTTAGATAGCAATGTAAACCAACCCAAGAGAAAAATCATTATGGAATGTGCAGATTCTTTTTTTTTTAATTAAAAAAATCAAATTTCTTGTCGTTAGAGCTACCTCATGTTGCAGAAAACTTAAGTACAGAACAATACTAGGAAATCAATTCCCTAACAGAAAGAAAGATCACAATTTGGTTACGCCATTACATTATAGAAACACAAAAGAAACCACATTCTACCAGAAAATAAAAGGGGAAATGGTAGTAAGAAACAATGCGTAAATTTTAGGGGTTTCTTTCTAATGCAAGTTTCTGTAACAGGCAAAATAAAGCACATCTGACAGAGTAAATGTAACAAGTCCCATGTGATAAAGCAACAATACACATGTTTGGCACAAATTGATCTAAGAGATTCTCTTTGAAAAACCAGACCCTAAAGAGGGCCAATCTACTCAAACTTATGACCTAATATGGATCATAAAACATTCTCCCAAGTTGGTCTGATGCTGAAAGGCCAAATCAGCCAGGTCAGTAGTCTAGAAAATACCTTGGTACCAAGCAGTCTGATTATTAGATCCTATTTGGGACATCAAAACTGGATAACCTTTTTATATTCCTTGGATAAAATGGAGGACAACTAACTAAGCTTTTATAAGTTGAAAGAAGATCACAGGAATGTAAAAAGAAAGCACATTGTGTCAAATCATAGAAAAGGTGCTAACAAAAAGAAAAAATGACCAAAAAAGGCCAGAAGAAATAGAAAGAAGAAAACGATCACCCTTGGATTAGCATACTATTATCCACAATAAAGGCACATGTTGGGAAGGATCCACAGAGCCAATCCCAAAAGTAAGAAAAATGACCTACTATTGCATTATTGTTGCACCCAAAAATGATTATATCAAGTCATGGAAGAGAGAACTCTGTCCAGGCTTTCATTATTGTTGCAAAACCAATAGATCTTTATTATTTAGGCCATCCTGAATGGGTGGGGCATCATAGAGGATATGTAAAATGGTGATAAAAACAAACCTATTCAAGTTTCAAACGGACAAAGTCTACAGTTGAAAATTAAGGAAATTGAAATATTTATAAATACAGAATAGTATTAGTTCTAAATAATGAAATTGAAATATTTAAAAAAATGTATAATAGTATTAGTTCTAAATAATGCTTCAGCTAAAAACAATGCTTACTCTTCTGAAGCAGCATCAGAATTACTAGAATCTTTTGCTTGCTCCTGCAAATCAAATCAGCAGAAGTTAGCATCAAGACAATACATTTAAAGAGATGAAAATTATGACCCACCATATCATTTTTGTTATCATCCTTAAGAAACTCCCAGCGTTCTTTCTTCATCAATAATATCTCTACATCTCCATCAGTATAGACAATCTGAACAGCAAAAACAACATAAGTATAATATAATTCATGTACTAAAAAAAACAACACGGTCAACAGAAACTATACACATAATCCAGCATTGTCATGACTTTTTACCTTGTGCTTTTTGGAAGCATGATCATAAGAATCAACAACACCATTATAAAATCTGCATTAAAGAAAGAATATTGATGTAATGCAGAAGTAACAAATATGTCCAACAGTTAGTGACAAAATAGTCTATAAAGCAATATCATGTAGAACTCAGGAATGCCAACTCAGTCTCACTAAACAAAAACACTACAAAAGAACAAAGACCTATTACAGGAGCATACTTGGGAGCTAAGAAGGGCTTAAACTGATGATAACCCATGATAATGCTAAATTTGCAAAGTAAACAAAACCAAATCAATCTGCACTTCTGCAGCATAAACTCGATTTAATTCTCAATATGCTTAGCACTCATGTTGAACAGACGAGTAAGAAGTCAGCTAGCAATCAGTATTGCTTCCTGCTTGCATTAGACCAGATACATCAAAAGTTTCATTTTATAAGTACAAACTAACTAAAACATAGATAAAGCAAATCTTCCATAAGTATCAACTTCCTCTGTTGGATTATGCTCCAATTATTAAAATATGGCTATGCAATCACTTGGAATCTATCATATGGGAAAAGAACTTAATGATACATGGTAATGAGAAAACATTAAAGAACTTAACAAGTCGAATAAAGAAAATTGCAAAAACATTGGCGATAAAGAAGTTACACATTGAACTGCTGACCATAGCAAAGCAAATGATAAGAAAAAGAACTATAATAAATTATAAGAAATAAATATACACCGAATACAAAGAACAATATTTAGTAACATGGCAATGCAGATATATTAACATGTCCATAATATTGTATTCTGTAACAATAACATTATTCCAATAAATCATGAGCAACATCACAGAATATATATAAATTAACAAGAAATCAATATTTTGTCTAACGCAAACCTTGTTATCAATATCACCATTATCAACTAACAGCAAATAAGACAATAAAAGTTCATTCAAGTCTGAATAGTTCTTTTGAAACACATTAAGTTAAACTCACTTCTTATCCATTGGCCACCATACCCTGATTCTGGAGCCAACAAGACCACCGTCTAGCTCTTTGTTGACAGTTGGTGTTTCAGAAATCTAACATCAACAAGAGCAACAAAATTAAAACCTCTATGGGCTGTAAAGGTTAAATAATATACGATGACAACAAACACTAAAATAGATAACAAAACATCAAAATCACAAAGCTGAAAAGCAAATGTCTGAAGTTCACTAGTTGCCTAAATCAGAACTTCTCATCACAAGAAAGGGAATGACAACTCCAAAAACACATTAACCAAAGAGTTCCAACGTCTAACAGATCTAGAACAAACTAAAACTATGGGGTAGTAACATCCAACCAAATGTACCACTGCTACAAAAAAGAACACATAAGGTAAAAACTAAAGAGTGACAAACCAAACTGCAATAGTATGAATAAAAAATGAAAGGCAAGATGCTTGTCAAGTTAAAGTGAGCATCCAAGAGCTAACACTCAATATACCCAATCCAAGGACAACCTTTAGGCCTTTAGTTAACAAATAGTCAAAAAGATTGGCACAGAAAACTAAATAAATGGGAATTTGATCCATTATGATCCAGTTTGAAAATAAACAATTTACTAGGCTTATTAATTATTTTCTCTTAAAGGGTGGAAGGAGAAGCCCCGTAACCCGTGAAACTTCTGATCGATGGTGAAACTTCTGCAGACTAGCCATTTAACTACAGCAAATATGTGCATGTATATCTTTATTAAGCTTCACATACAATCTATAAATCTTAGTCCTCCAATAACAAAATAATAAAAAAAATACTACACAACTCCAAACAACGTTCAACAAAATTGAACTTCATCACTATGAAAAAAGAAACATGTAAGGTAGTAATGGTTAAATACTTATACTTCTGGCATGTTCACCTCCTAGATGATGAGACCCTCCTATCAGCAAACCTTAACAAAAAGAAAGAATTAAAGCAAGCAAAATAGAAGAGATCAAAAGAACATGCACAACGATACTACTTGGTGTACCATATTTTTAGACCTAATTCCTGACTTTCCATGTCGGTGTAAATTACTAAGAACAACACATACAAAAACAACTACTTGCCAAAACAGCCACTTTCTCCGACTACTCTCGCTGATGATTTAAAAAAAACATAGGACAATTGCAGCCAGAAATCACATATTTTACTTTCATAAGCTGGCTATGACTACAAAACAAAATGCAATCATAAGCACGTAAACTGAATTTTCATCTACATGATTGAATTGCACAAGAATAACGACACTATGAATATGCTCATCGAAGCCTCTGCTGAAGAACTTCATATTTCCGAAGAGTGCAAAACTGAACCAAGCCAAAAATGACAACTGGATATGTATTATACCACCTCTGAAATACCAAGCAAAGGAAGAAACTTGCAACATGTCCCTGCATGATCCTCCACAGACATATATATATATATATATATATATATATATATATATATATATATATATATATATATATATATATATA